TTCTATAACTAATGCCATTCTCAACATACAAACTATATGGAATTAGAGGCAGTCATTAGATTACACTCACCACTGACAATGTGTTTCTTGTCATGTCTCATAAAAACCACACCAGAAGTTAGTTCATTAGGTGGCCACAGAATCCTCGGTATTCTGTGAAAATTCAGATTCATATTTCTCTCTGTAACAAGACCTTCTACCTATTCTTCACTGTCAGTCTGACTGGATTATGCATTTAATTCTTATGTCATAACTTGAAAGGTTACATTATTACAGGAAATAGGAAAGACTGAGAAAATCAAATCCACAGTAATGACATTAGAATGGGTATATCTTAGGTCATGTGGGGCTACTTCAGGTATTATGTCAAAATTCAAAATTTTCTTCATAGAAAGAAATAGTCTTATAAATAAGACTCTCATTAACTGTGTGCTGTATATAAGATCAAGGTAATCTAGAAAATGGATGGCCAACTTTTGAAAACATGTCATTTTTATCATTTGTTTTGGGTTCCATCAATGAAGACAGGTTTATATAGCCATTGTAATTTGGTAATGTGATTGTTTTTAAATTTTTTATTCTTTCAAAGGGGAACATTATACTCTACTGTTTGTATAACAATTTAAAAGCAATTTTATTCTCATAAAACTTCCTCTTTATTATGCTCTTTGTCAAAAGATGAAGGTAAACCTCTTCCTCCACAACCTCTCCAGTAAAGGCTAGGAGGAAGGGGTACCCGCATCCATTGCTGGTGGGAATGCAATCTTGTGCAACCACTTTGGAAATAAGTCTTTCGGTTTCTCAGGAAATTCGGGATCAACCTACCCCTGGACCCAGCAATACCACTCTTGGGAATATACCCAAGAGATGCCCGATCATATGACAGGGGCATTTGTTCAACTATGTTCATAGCAGCATTATTTGTAATTGTAATTATTTGTAATGTGGAATATATACACATTAGAATACTACTCAGCGGTAAAAAACAATGACTTCTCGAATTTTGCATGCAAATGGATGGAAATAGAAAACACTATCCTGAGTGAGGTAACCCAGACCCAAAAAGATGAACATGGGATGTACTCACTCATAATTGGTTTCTAGAGATAAAGAACCTTCATCTGGCGATGGATGGAGATAGAGACAGAGACCCACACTGGAGCACCGGACTGAGCTCCCAACGTCCCAATGAGGAGCAGAAGGAGGGAGAATATGAGCAAAGAAGTCAGGACCACAAGGGGTGCACCCTCCCACGGAGACAGTGGGGCTGATCTATTGGGAGCTCACCAAGGCCAGCTGGACTGTGACTGAAAAAGCATGGGATAAAACCAGACTCTTTGAATATGGCGGACAATGAGGGCTGCTGAGAAGCCAAGGACAATGGCACTGGGTTTTGATCCTACTTCATGTTCTGGCTTTGTGGAAGCCTAGCCAGTTTGGATGTTCACCTTCCTAGACCAGGATGGAGCGGGGAGGACTTTGGACTTTCCACAGGGCAGGGAACCCTGACTGCTCTTCAGACTGGAGAGGGAGGGGGAGAGGAGTGGGGGGAGGGGGAGAAGAGTGGGAGGAGGGGGAGAAGAGTGGGAGGAGGGGGAGGGAAAAGGGAGACAGGGAGGGAAATGGGAGGTGGGGAGGAGGCAGATTTTTTTTCAATTAAAATTATATTACAAAAAAAGATGAAGGTAAATACAAATGACATCTGAATATCACATTTTAATAACAATTCAAGGAAGGAAAGATATTCATAAAAGTCTTGAAAAATCAATGCTATCAAAGTGCACATCCTTATAACACATTGTTGCAAGAACTGTGGCATTTGAAAGCTGCTAGGATCTCCTAAGTACAACTAAGGTATATGACTCTAGAATATTAAATAATTAACTACTTTTATTTTCATTCTTAGCTCATCCAGGAATAAAGAGGAAAACAATTATGTAAATGAACTTGGGTGACCTGTTAGCAGACCACAAATCACTGAGTTATGTCCAGGTGCCCATGCTTTATGGCACATGTTTTACTGCATAGTGGAAAATGGAGCTTTAATTTTCTCTAAAGAAAGTTCAGGAGCATATTTCATCTTCGAGGGCTGTTAATCCAGAACACGGGCTAATGTCAGAGGCTGCTCATTTGTCTCAGCTGCCCAGACCTGAAATAATCACTCAGAAACTATATTATTTGCAATACTGTTAGGACAATAGCTTAAGCGCATTTCTAGCTAGCTCTTACATCTTAAATTAACCCATTTCTATTATTTTACCATGAGCCTTGTGGCCTGCTGGCAAGGTTCCAGCACAGGTGTCTCCAGCAGTGACTATATGGTTTCTCACGGATTCCACCTACTTTCTCCCAGCATTCAGTTTAGTGTTCCTGCCTAGGTCTATTCTGCCTTTTTACAAGCCAAAGAAGATTCTTTATTCACTAACCAATAAAAGCAACACATATACAGAAGGACTTCCCACACCAGCAGACCAGATATAAAAACAAAGGAAGACATTTTGCAATTCTCTAGAACAGTCAGGAGTTCCATTGCTGGGACTAAAGGATTGCATTACACATACATGCACACATAGTACTCCTAAATATATGTCATATTGGCTATACATATTATGTAAGTATGCATAGTGTGTCCGTGTGTGTGTGTATGTGTGTGTGTGTATGTGTGTGTATGTGTGTGTGTGTGTGTATGTGTGTGTGTGTAGCTTAGAGTAAGTCCTTATGGAGTCAGTTATTTTTTTTCCACATTTACTTAAAGTCCAAGAATCAAAATCAGGTCTTCCAGCTTGCTTAGCAAGCTCCTTTACCCTCTGAGCCATTTCTCTGTCTCTTACACAGATGTTTTCAAATATCTATAGGTCAAACAAGTAATGAACTGGAGAATTTACCAAATAACTATCTAACTTTTTTTTCATACATTGTATAAAGAGACAGCCATCAGTTTATCAAGGAAAAAACATCTTTGGTACTTTTTAAAATTTTTAGTTCATTTTTTTGATATTTATCCATGAGTTGATTTATAAGAGTTATTTATATAATCCAGCTCTACAAAGAGTGGTCAAAGGCAATCTTTCCTTCTACTCAAGTTTGATAAAGAACAAGAGAACAAGGGAATAAGAGTTAATTCAGGAAAAAGAGATACAAATTCTGTGAAACTAGCACACCATACATTCAGTAGGGAGCCTGAAAGAAAAAAAAAGTAATTTTGTGGATTTTAAATCCTGGAAGCCAAAACACTTCAAAAGGTATTAATATTCAAATACCACCCACATTCAGAGCTCCTATGTTGGTTCTCTTACTGTAAGTCTGGAGTCAGTGAGCTCCTACTAGCTCAGGTAAGCCCTTTCAATGGGTATCCCCATCACGGTCTTTACCCCTTTGTTCATGTTGTCTCTCCTCCCTCTCTTCTACTGAGGAGTTGATGAGGGGTGGGATGAGGGGAAAATGGAGGGAGTGGGAGGAGGGGAGAAAGTAGGAACTGGGATTGGGATATAAAATGAGAAAAGATAGTTTTTTTAAAAAAAATAATAAATTTTTAAAAAGTATTAATATTCAATTAGCTTGGCTGCATGCTGTACAGTGGGCCCATGCCAAGCACTTTAAATGCATGGGATCATTTAATATCCACAGTGGTTCTATAATTCAAGCAGAAACATGTATCAGTTGTTTTCTTATTAATTAGTTTACATTTAGTGACTCTTATGCTCCTTGGGATTACATGATTGGTTTCAAGGTTTTACAGCTACTAGGATTAACCAGGTTTGAAATAAAAATTTTTGATTTCTGCTCTAGTATTTAAGCAAAGTTTCCTGGGGAGGCATTAGCAAATGTCTGTTCATCCCAGATAAGCCACCAATGACAGACCAAAGCAATGATTCACTCCATTCTAGAATGGCAAACCACTGAGTTTCTTGGGGTACTCTGCAGGACATTGGGTTACTCAAACAGCTGTATCATCAAAAACCTTGCTCAGGATAGGTCATGATGCACAAAAGCATTGTGAGTTCTTGTAGGCAGCTCCATGGGAGAAAGTCTCCTCTTCCCAACACCTTGTTGTTTATCTAACATTGGAGATGGGGCTTGTGAGTCTTGTCTGACCTTGTCAGGACTTATTATCCTTCTTTCAGATGGGAGTGTTTCATCTGAGAGAAAGTGCTGAATAGCAGTTTTCTCACAAGCCCACTGAGCTAGAAGTTTGAACAGTCATTAACAAGAACTTGCTCTCAAGGAAGCTTATGAGAGGGTAAGGAAACCAGGGAGGCAGGAGCAGTGGACTAGACATGTTAGGATGTTAGATAAAACCTCAGATTTAAATTTTGCTTTGGTACAAAGAAGCTAAGACTCTGAGCTTCACTTGAGTTATTCTGAAACTCCCCCTGACACTATCGTCTCTTCAGTTGTGATAACTATTCTTGCTTGTCAACTTTACTACATCTGGAATGAACTACAATCCAGAGATGAAGGGCATGCCTGTGAGATATTTTTGCTTGGTTTGAGGTGGGTATCTCCATATCCAGTATGTACCTTTGAGGTAGGAAGACACACACCTTTAATCGGGATATCGAGGCAGGAAAACACATGCCTGAATTTAATATGGATTTTGAGGCTGGAAGACACTTATTTAATCTGGGTCATACATTCTGCTGGAAATCTATGTAGCATTTGGAACAAGGAAGATTTTGCTTTTTGTCTGCTTACTCTCATTAGCAACCCCATTCCTTCACTGGCATTAGAGCCTAGTTCTTTGAGTTTTAGTGTTCACTGAAGAGCAGCTGAGACATCCATCCTCGTGGGCTGAACAGCTTCTGAATTCTAGGAATTTCTGTTCATAGCCAGTCACTGCTGAGTTTATTAGACTATAGCCTATTATCATTCCAATAATCTCCTTCATATATATATACATACATATATGTATACATACATATGTATGTATATCTTAATATATATTCCACAGATATAGATATAAATATAGATATAGATATTCCTTCTGTAAGTTCTGCTATACTAGAGAACCATGACTCATAAATATACCAGTCCTCTTAGGAGGGGCCATGCTAATCTTCTCTGTATTGTTCCAATTTCAGTATATGTGCTGCCGAAGCGAGCACTACCAGTCCTCTTAGGGATGAGCACTTATATCTAGAAGCAAGCAGATGATCATGAACAAGACAGATTACAGACAATCACCAGAGCCCATTAAAGATTCCAAGATTATGCTTCTCACTTATTTGTAGGTTTCTTAGTATAGGCTTAAGATAAAACAAATACCCCCCCCAAATTATTGAGGCAAATGTATACTACCAAAAGTCACCTTGCGCAAGATAAACTCAAGTAGAGATATTTAAGGAAGAACTTTTGAGAACAAAATGGTTATATAATTCCTTTAGGTTCAATAGAGAAAAATATCTGCATAGATCCTACCATAGAGTTTCTGTAATAAGCATTTTTCCCAAGTTTTCTCAGTAGCTGAATGAAAAAGAAAGCTTATTTTATTTCCTCTTTGATAATTCAACATTTTTGTAAAAGCCTGTATTTCCATGCTTTTTACTCTGTTGCTCAACCTTTATTTGAACAGATTTCTGTTTCAATTTGAATTGATTTCTGAGCTTTTCCTTCACTCTTTCCTATGCTAATTGTAATAATCCCAGTATATGACTGGTTTCCTATTCTACAATTTCTTATAAAGAGAAATCAAACCAATCTCAAATGGACTAAATCCTGTCTATTGTCTTGTCTTATTGAGGACACATATACCTTAAGAAGGACAGTCTGCCTAAGGATGAGAAATGTCCTTGTTACCCCTGGAAGTAAGACCTATGAAGATGGATGAATCAGTCTACACAGCTGCTATGGGACACTTATCTCGTACCCTGTAAAGATTTGTCTGTTGTATTGGTTTAATAAAACACTGATTGCTCAGTAGCCAGGCAGGAAGTATAGTATACCTTGCAGCTCTTTTAAGAGGACCTGCCAGCAAACTCTTAAATGGTGTTTATGAATAGCCAGCAGCATGCATCTTAGTGGTGGTAGGGACCTAGAAATGCCATAGCGTTGTGGCAATAAACATGGCTCTAGACAGTACCTCCACCACGAGGCTATGTTGTGCCCAGATTACGACCCCCAGAGAGACCACCAGAAACCAGAGAAGCCCAGACTTCAATAAGCAATTTTTATTGTTAGCATAATACGAACTAGTTTGGAACCTGTCTCCAACAGCCCGTTTAGCTGAAAGACATGATGTTCAGAAGACATTGATCTCTTTCTATTGGATTTCAAATGATTTGAAAGAAAATGGAGCTATCTGAAATTAGCATTACAGAATATATGTATTCTGAACATTTTTTTTCATAAACTATCTTTGTATAACACTTGAAGTTTTATTTAAATTCCAAAGACGCGTAGTCAATGGAAGAGTGTCTGCATGATACGTAACCTATTTATTCCCTCTCTTGCTTGAATCTAAAGAAGCTGTATGATGTAATAAAAATAAACTGGCCTTTCTGTTGACCTGGGGGTAGTATTAATAACAGGACTTATTGTCTTCCATGTTTAGTTTAGAATTAGGGAAGAGAAGGACACTAAGCCTTTCACATTACAGATGAGATGAGGATCAGATATCACTTCAAATGAAAGTGATGGAGTGCCCACACTTCCCAGGATTGTTTGGTTTCAGGCTGTTGTTCACATGAAACTGTTAAGGGTACCTTTTTTGGGTCATTTTCTCAAGTATCTCTGTTTTAAATATTGAGTATAAAAACATGTTACCACAGACACAAATTACATCCAATTTAAGATTTACGAAAGGAGATAAGAGAATTTAATTATTTCATAATACTTGGTCAGTATTTTTTCAGAGTTCAACTTTTTGTAATAAGGAAACTTTTCACATTTTAGCCTAAGTGCCAATTAAAATGAAGCTATGTATCCAGTACTAGCCAGAGGTTAGTTACATGAAAATCTAGCCTTGGCTGTGGCTTTGAGGCAATTGGGGCATTTGAATACTTTCTTGTAGTCTCTTGAATAGAAAACTTAGGTTCAGAAAAACCTTTCACTCAGGCACTAAAGAGGTCAAAGCAAGTTCTAGATAAGAGTTTGTGCCATAAGTTTTTACAAATTTTATGATACACAGCTTAAAGGCTAACAGTGTCCTATATGCTGATGACCTTAAAATATTTGGATCTCATAGAAACAATAAATTATACAGCCAATATTTCTTTTTTTTCCAATATTTCTGTTTAGAATTTTATTCACCTCTAGAGGGGCTTTAAAGGACTGTTATATGTATGAATAACATGCAAGAAACAAAATCTTTCTGTCCTTGAATGCATTTACAAATCTCATCATCTGAAACATCACAATGCCCTGCATATGATGCCCTCTTTATTTTTTTAAGCATATGATTCAAGCTCTGGGCCTTCCTTATTTTAAAAAAATGTATTTTGTATTTGTACTTTGAAAATTTCATACATGTATACAATGTATTTTGATCATCCTCAACTCTGTCCTCCCTCTAACTCCTCCTGGAATTCTTCCAGAATGTTCCCCTCCCTAATTTGTGTCCTTTTTTTTTTTTAACCCACTTGAGCCCAGTTAGTGCTTCCTGTGTGTTCATTAGTGTAGGGATATCCATTGAAGCAATGGTAACCTAATGGGAGCCACATCCTTGAAGAAAACTGACTCTTCCTCTCCCAGTAGCTATCAACTGTCAATAGCTCCTCAGTGAGGATGGGCTCCATGAACGCTTATCATCCACGCTGGATTTCAGACTGGCTTTTTCCCGTACAGGCAGACATAGCCACTAGATGAGTTCATGTCCAGAAGACACTGTTTTGTAACTGTTCTCCCCAGTTACATATAGTCTTGTCACCACAGCTTTTACCATGGTCCCCAAACCTGAGAGGAGAGACTGTGATTCACTGTGTTGCTTCACAGTGACTTGTTTTCTCCACTTGGACCAGTTGTGAATCTTTTCATCAACTCCCCTATATTACAGCTGTTTTCAACCTGTGGGTTGAGACTCCTTTGGGGTTGAGCAATGCTTTTACATGTGTTACCTAAAACCATCAGAAACCACAAATATTTTCATTAAAATTCACAACAGTAGCAAAATTATAGTTATGAAGTAGTAAAAAAAGTAATTTTATAGTTGAGAGATCACCACAATGTGAGGAGCTGTGTTAAAGGGTTTCAGCATTAGGAATGTTGAGTTTTACTGCTCAATTGAAAAAATAAACTTCTTTTATGAGGCTGAGAGATGCTCCCATCTAGGGATATGAAAATAAATATTTAGTAGGTCCCATTTATTCAATGTTGCCCTTAGTGTCTGTGCTGCTGGGGTTATACACAGGAAGCGATCTCCTGTGCCCATCTGTTGTAGGGTACTTCCCACTTTCTCTTCTACCAGATTCAGTGTGTTCGGACTGATATTGAGGT